TTTCTGCCTGGATCCAAATTAGACTTCAGGTTATCAGAGACCAACCGGGGCATAAACAACAGGGTCAGAGGAAAGAAGTCAAAACTAGAAAAAGCTGGTAAAATAGTCCAATGAAGCCAGATTTTATTGTCTGTGGATGTGCTTTTATTTGCTATTCAATTGCTTTTTAAACTGGCTTCTAGTTTCAAATGATACAAGAAAAAAAATCAATTCACTGTGTTGTACACCTGAAACTCATGTAATGGTGTATGCTCATTATAACAACAACAACAAAAAAGTGACAAGGGGAAAAACATGGAAACAATAAGGCAAGGGGACACTGTATTTTCAGTCTTGTGAACTACCGCACAAAAAAACTGAGTTCAGTATTATCAGGCGGACAGTGTCTCCACTCCATACTTCTGTCTGATGAGCTTCTGTGATGGGTCCCTTGGTACCTGACAATAGAAAGGCTGATCTTTCTCTCCTTTTGTTTAAGCATCTCCTGACAGGCCTTGGATTTAGCTTGTAGGCATGTAAATATCGCAAAAATATCTAACTATATTTTATTTATATTTCAATATTGGCCATTGAGCAATGGTCAAAAATTATAACTTCCTTTTACTCAGTAAAGTGAAGCAGTGTTGAATTTGCTTAATTTGGAAGTGGAGTTGTGAGAGGGTCCCCTAATGAAAAAAAGTTTTGAATCTTGACAAAAGGTGAAAAACCAAGTATTGTTTTTATTATTTTTGGTAATCAAGAGCAGCATGCACTTACTTTTCTGATATTTAGAGTATAGGTATTTTGAAAACTATAGAAAGGAGAAAATCTCCCCCTTTTTTCTCTTCCTTTAAGGCCTCTGGGGAGTTCGAACTGATTCTCCTAATCTCAATAAAAAAAAAAATCTACTTAAGTCTAAACTGGCTTGGTTATCAGCTAGTTTCTAGGTATGTGTTTTTTATTCAAAAAAGAGAAACAGTGCTTGTTTTAAGCAATACCAAACCCTCGGAGTCCTTTTCTGGCCTTGCACAAAAATAATAACAACTAATCACATTTAAGATGGTTTAAAGTTTCCTTTGCTGGATAAATGATTGAAATAATAAAATAAAAGTAAACTTCCCAGTGAACAAGTAGGGCACTGGGACCAGTAACGTGTGGTTAGTAATTTAACTGTATTTTTATTAAGAAACTGTTGGGTCTGTTTCTATGCTTTTAAATGTTCATAGACATTTAAAAATAGAATACATTTTCCTCTTTAATTTTCAGTAAAAACAAAGCAATACTTCTGAATCCCTGACTAGAGAGTCACCATAGCAAATCCACTAATTACTGATTGTGTCTTGTTTACTCACATGATACTTATATGTTTTTCAAGCTCAATTCAAAGTTTGTTCTCAACCTAATGTCAGGGAACCTGCTTTCCTTCAATTTGTAAAAGATCCTCATAATGCTGAAATTTCTCATTTCCATTTGTATATAATACCCCTTAGGCTGAACTATTTCTCACGATTGCTTTCAGTGTTTTTCTCCTGCAGAGGTAAAAATATTTGTGCCCAAAATGACTAAAAACAAATCAAGAAATGTAATCCACAGTCTAAATGTTAAGTTCATTTTGAAGTTGAAGCAATTCATAATTTTATACCTTTAATTATCTACAAACATTACTTCTATCTTTTTCTCCCACTTGCTATTTGTTAGTATTCTCTAATTAATTCTTACACCACTGCTAAGCAATTCTTTTCTTTTTCCTCCCATAAGAACAAATTTAGGAAAAAAAATTATTGTAGACTATATTGCTTTTCTTTTCAACTTTAATAATGAAAACAGCTTACCTGGATCACGTGGAAAAGTGTGTATTCTTATAACTTAGGTTATTTTCTTTATTGAATAAAATAATATTTAATTATTTTAGGGGCATGGGAACAGCTCTCTAATCTTTTACTCTAAATTAAATACAGGACATATTGTGGTTCTGGATAATCCACATACAACTCTTATAAATACGTTGCTTCTCAACTATACTAAACAGAAGAATAAAAAGGGGCACTCTCAAATTGATCATTATACTCTTGTCAATAAATTTAAGTAAGATTTGGTAGATGAAATAAATTCTTAAATGTTATCAGTGACGTTTAGTTATCCAGACCCTTCCCCAGTACCTAAATTCAACAAATGTTAGATTCTTTACAATATAGAGAGTCTTTCTGTAGGGAATTTAAAATATGGGAAGGTTTTCTGCCAGCCCTAAAGAAGCTTCCATTCCAGTTAGTGAGAATATATATATATATATATATATGTCTATATTAGCGTTTCCTCAATGGAGATGTAATTTCCTACAATGAGTCATCATGTCAAGCACAGGCAAGTCTCAGATACACTGTGGGTTTTGGTTCCAGACCACCACAATAAACTGAATATTGTGATAAAAATCACAAAACTCTTGGTTTCCCAGTGCATATAAAAGCTATGTTTACACTATATTGTAGTCTGGTAAGTTTGCGATAGCACTATGAATTTAAAAAGTACATATCTTAATTAAAAAATGCTTTCTTGCTAACCACTCATCTGAGCCTTCAGCAAGTTGCATTCTTTGCTGGTGGAGGGTCTTGCCTCGGATGTTGAAGGCTGCCGACTGATCGGGGTGGGGGTTGCTGAAGGTGGGGTGTCTGTGGAAATTTCTTAAAATAAGACAACACTGAAGTCTGCTGCGTGAATTGACTCTGCCTTTTGTGACTGGCTCCTCCGGAGCAGGCAGTGCTGCTTGAGAGCATTTTAGTCACAATAGAACTTCTTTCAAAACTGGAGCCCATCCTCTCAGACCCTGCTGCTGCTTTGCAAACTAAGTTTAGGTCATGTTCTAAATCCTTTGTTGTCACTTCAACAGCCTTCACAGCATCTCCACCAGGAGTGGTTTCCTTCTCAAGAAACCACTTTCTCTGCTCACCCACAAGAGGCAACTCCTCAACTGCTACAGTTTATCCTGAGATTGGAGCAGTTCGGTCCCATCTTCAGTCTCCACTTCTAATTCTAGTTCTCTGGCTGCTTCCACCACATTGGCAGTTACTTCCTCCACGGAAGCCTTAACCCTCTCAAAGTCATCCATGATGGTTGGAGTCAACATCTTCCAAACTCCTGTTCATGCTGACATTTGGACCTCTTCCCCTGAATCACAAATGTTCTTAGTGGCATCTAGAGTGATGAATCCTTTCCAGAAAGTTTTCAAATGACTTTGCCCAGCTCCATCAGAGAAATCACTGCCTGTGACAGCTACGGCCTTATAAAGTGTATTTTTTAAACATTAAGACTTCGACGTTGAAATGACTCTTTGATGTTGTGTTAGGAGGCATGAAAACAATGTGAATCTCACACATCTCCATCAGAGCTCTTGGGTGACAGGTGCATTGTCAATGAGCAGTAATAATTTATTTATTTTATTTTATTTTATTTTATTTTATTTTATTTTATTTTATTTTTTTCAGCAGTAATATTTTAAAAGGAAGCTTTTTTTTTCCTGAGCAGTAGGTCTCAAAAGTGGGCTTAAAATATTCAGTAAATCATGTTGCAAACAGAAGTGCTATCATCCAGGCTTTGTGGTTCCAACCATAGAGCACAGGTAGAATAGATTTAGCATCATTCTTAAGGGCCCTAGGACTTCTGGGATGATAAATGAGCATTGGCTTCAACTGCAAGTCACCGGCCGCGCTAGCCCCTAACAGGAGAGTCAGCCCTGCCTTTGAAGCTTTGAGGCCGGGCACTGACTTCTCCTCTGTAGCTATGGAAGCCCTAGATGGCATCTTCTTCCAGCGTAAGGCTGTTTCACCTACACTGAAAATCTGCTGTCCAGCGCAGCCACCTTCGTGAATGCTTCTAGCTGGGTCTCCTGGACACCTTGCTGCAGCCTCTGCATCACACTGGCTGCTTCACCTGCCCTTCTGTGTTATGGAGACGGCTTCTTCCCTTCAACCTCATGGACCACCCTCTGCTGGCCTCAGATCTCTTTTCTGCAGCTTCCTCACCTCCCTCAGCCTCACAGAATTGAAGAGAGCGAGGGCCTGGCTCCGGATTAGGCTTTGGCTTCAGGGAAGTTTGGGGCTGTTTTTATCTTCTATCCAGGCCACACAAACTTTCTCCATATCAGCAATAAGAATGTTTGGCTTTCTTATGATTCACAAGTTCACTGGCAAAGCGCTTTTAGTTTCCTTCAAGGACTTTTTCCTTGCATCCACACCTTGGCTAATTGATGTAACAAGTCTTTGGGCTTGTCTCAGCATTTGACATGCCTTCCTCGGTAAATTTAATCATTTCTAGCTTTTAATTTAAAGTGCGAGATGTGCAACTCTTCCCTTCACTTGAACACTTAGAGGCCATTGTAGGGTTATTAATTAGCCTAATTTCCAGGAATAGGGAGGCCCAAGGAGAGGAGGAGAGACGGGGGAAGGGCCAGTTGATGGAGCGGTCAGAACACAGACATTTATTGATTAATTTGCCATCTTGTATGGGTACAGTTCATGGTGTCCCCAGATAATTACAATAGTAACACCAATGATCACTGATCACAGATCACCATAACAAATATAACCACAACCAGAGAAGCTTCAAATATTGTGAGAATTACCAAAATGGGACACAGAGACATGAAGTGAGCCAACGTTATTGGAAAAATGGTGCCAAGAGACTTGCTGTATGCAGGGCTGCCACACACCTTCGATTTATTTTAAAAAAAAAAAGGTAATATCTTTGAAGCACAATAAAGTGAAGTACAATAGAAGGGGGAGTCCTGTATTTTTCCTCTAACTGTATTGTAACAATTAGAGAAAAAAAAATCACTATTGGTCCAAAAAAGACAAAGTATGGTAGCTATGAATATGAGAACATATTTCTTCTTTGTCTTTGACTAATATAGTACTTGGAAGGTTGTTGGAAATAAGCATTAGAATTTGGGGGGAAATCAGTTTGAAACTTTATCTTGTTTAATCATATTGAAAACACATTCCACATAGAGGAGGAAGCCGAACAATTACCTTTAAAATTGGGTCTGATTCGTGCGTCATACCCTGACGTCCTCCCCATTAGCTTGTCCAGAAAGTCAGAAGGTGACATCGGTGCGCTTCGAGATCTTGCACTATCTGTTTCTTTTGTTGCAACCAAACTACAAATGAGAAAAAAAATATACAGAGTTGACCCCAAAAAACAAAAAAAGTGTTCCTAACAGCTGTTACTTAGAAATACAAAATAAAAATGCTAAGCAAAAAAACCTTTGAGAACAAACAAAAAAGGTTTTATACACTATATAGTGAATATTATCATAATAGTAGTCAGGGATGTATAAAATTTACAGTCAAAATTTATAAGTTTTCACATGGATTCAGCCCAAAGGTCAGAGGCGACAATATTTCGTGTCAAGTCTAGAAACAAAGCCACTCTAAATCATTAGGGTTTCAAAATTAGTGTTTACTCAAACTTGATTTCTGATTGCAATTTTTAGCTAAAATTATCCTAAGTGATTCAGGCATCAGAAAATATGAATGTTCAGCTGATACGTGACTCTTACTGCTTTTATAGAGGGAAAAGAATCACCTGTAGGGCTTTGGGAGTTTTTCTTAATAATAATAAAACTGTCCTACAGATTAAACAGCAGTGTCCTTCCCTTCAGTTACAGCGAGCGCTTCCTGTGTTAGTAACATGCTCAGGTAAACTCATCCTGCTTTCACTCTGTGCCGCTCTTCTGCAGGACATTTTGTCCAGATCTAAAACTTGTGATGGAGACTGAGAAAGTACCATAAATGCAGTCTGTGCACTTGGCTGTTACCTGGTGAGACCCTGTGTCTGGGAAAAGGGACAGGGTCATTGCATTTTTTTCCATTCGAACCTTTCCCTTCTTATGCAGCTGCTCATCCCAGGAGCCCGCAGGTGTGACGGCACCCCTGCCCTGCTCCTTATTTATCTAGGTTGATCCACAGGAGGCCTGGGCCTGCCTGCTAACATCGAATGTTTCTTTTTACCCACAGAGCTTCGCTCAGGAAGGTGAAGCAGACTTTCTGGGCACACATGTTTGAAATATATATATTCAAGCTGATGTTACTTCCTGGAGACTGTCAATCATCACCTCCTCCCAGCTCTGTCACTCAGCTCAGAGCACTGCCTGCACCTCTGTGGTCACTCTCAGCAGTATCAAGTTAGGAAATTCCTCCTGCCAGGATTCCCAGCAAATAGTGACAGTGAGCTTAGAGCCATCACCACTAAACTGTCTACCACATACATTATAATCAGTAATTTATAAACACAGCTGTGAAATGCAACATGAATGATAAAGTGGGAATGGTGTCCCTGAAAGCACAGCATCACAGCGAACAGCACCCACTAACTACTGCCTAGTCCTGGACATGCTGAGTCACGTATCTTCCCGGTGACTCTCACTCTGTCTTTCTTGCTTCCTCTCCAAGTAGGGGAGAAGCTTCTCTTGCTGTTCTGCAGGTTCCACATTACTTTGCAAACCTTTACCTCTGATATTACTGGTCAGTTGATCTCCTTGCCGTTGTGATCTCTGGAAAGTTTATTCTAATGTCATCATCATCACCATGAAAAGGAAAAAAACAAAACAAAACTACTCCCTTCTCAGTAACTCCAGAACTGTCCTCTACCACCTGCTTTTAAGTCACTTTTCTCTGTCCTCTCAAGCAGGACTTGCTCATTTTCCATGGCCCAAGAACATACTGCTGCTTCTAAGCCATTCCTTTTATTTTCTCTGCAAAATCCTTCCTTTCAGTTGTCAGAAAATGCATTTCTATATTCTCTTACCAAAAAATTAAACCAACCTACCCAGATCTGAACTAATAATATTCTGCCCCTCAGCTGTTAAAAAATAACCCATAACTACGGGCGCTGAAGTGACAGTCCCTCACGTTTGCACTGAAGCGGGCAGGTTATCATAGGCCATCTGGGTATGTTGCTGCCCGCAATGGCGTGTTTCCTTCTGAGAGAGATGCTGCAGTGCATTTGATGGCAGGCAGAAGAGAGGAGGCAATGTGGCCACAAAGGCAGAGATCAGTGTGATGCGGCCACAGCCGAGGGAAGCCAATGGTCAACAGAGGCTGGAAGGGCTGGAAGAGGAAGGGACAGATTTTCCCTTAGAACCTCTGAAGGACTGTGGGCCTGTTCACACCTCACATCTTGTTTTGGGCCCAGTGAACTGATTTTAGACTTCTGGCCTCCAGAACTGTGGGAAAAAAATGATTTTCTGTTGTTTTAAGCCACGCAGTTAGTAGCAAATTGTTACAGCTGTCACAGGAAACCGGTAGGAGCTTTCCAGTGAACTTTTCATTTCAGTCACTCTACTTTTCAACTCAAGAATTACTCTTCTGTTCTTTTGTAATTTCTGCCTCTCTGTTGGTATTTTGTGTTTGGTGAGATTTTATTGTCATTCTTTCTTTTCAGTTTTTCGGGCATGGCTTCCTTTAGTTCTTTGAATGTATTTGAAATAGCTGATTTAAAGTCTTTGTGTAGTATTTGACGTTTCTGAACTAATGCTGTGAAGCCTACCTTCCTTCGTGTATATGACCACGGGAACATCCGCTCAGTGAGGTTACAGAACCGCTAATAACTGCACAGGGATTTTCTTAAATTCCTAGTGCCAGTAAGTCTCCCAGCATTTCCCGGGGGCCCTGTGTTCACGGAGTCAGGCTTCAACACTGAGTCAGGCAGCTGACAAATCTGCCTTAGCCCTAACCGCCTATTTGCACAGGGCCCAAGGCCACCGGAGTTGAGAGCTCAGGGTCTTCTCGGAACTTCCCCGAGCACGCGCACAGCCCTGGGTGTACTCGTTTGCTAGGCCTTTCTTAGCAAAGTGTCACGGCCCAGGGGGGCTTACACAACAGAAATTAATTTTCTCACAATTCTGGAGGCCAGGAGTCCAAGATCAAGTTGTTGGCAGGGTGAGTTTCCCCTAAGCGCCTCCCTCCTTGCCTTGCAGATGGCCACCTTCTCTGCGCTTTCACATGGCCCTTCCTCTCTGTGTGTCTGTCCTAATCTCTTCCTAGAAGGACCCCAGTCAGATTAGATTAGGGTCCACCAATACGACCGCATGATACCGTAATTACCTACAAATAAAGTCGCGTCTGGAGACATTGGGAGTTAGAGCTTCACCGTGGGAACTTTGGCAGGATGCGTTCAGCCCTTCGCACTGGCCGCTCACAGCCCCGTGCGCATGCGTGGACTTCTAGCTGCCTGGGACTACAGGGAGCTTTTCCAGACGCCTAGGGACTTACCTTCCACTGCTGCTTCTTTTACGCTTTCTGGCTAGTCTGTTCTTTTCATCCACGGTTCTCTACTGCCTCAGGTACCCGTGAAATTAAACAACTGGCAAAATCCCCAGGAAAAAGCTTTTTCAAACTGAGTGAGCTCCAAGTTAGGTGAAATAAAAGCAGTCTCACAAGTGGGGTCTTCCAGAAAAACCTTCAGATGGGTCAAATAATGACGATTTTCCAAGAATATTGTTTTAAAGGTATTCGGACTCCATTCTGTCCCCTCTGGTGGCTGCCGGCTGCTTTTTTTTTTTTTTTTTTTAACTGTAATTGCAACCTACTGGTTTACAATGCTACTGCGGGACTGGAGAGACGGGGTGGGAACAGGGCAAGTTAGACCGCGAGAAATCCCACTCTTCTTCCCAAGATTCAGGTGTTCTTCCCGATTAAACTACTTCATGGATTCCTGCAAGTCTCTGATTAATCACAAGAGTTCTGAAAAAGCTGACTGTCACCTTTTTGACAGTTTTCTCACTGCTATTATGGAGGAGACGATTTACGGAGGTCACTGTTCTACTAATTTTGCTCAGATCACCGCTCTGACCATGTTTCCCTAGGTTTCTTTTTCTATTTGTTTTATTGTATTTGTGTTTCAAAGAACAACACTCCTCAAAGCTCCAGCCATCTTCTCTCTCTGGATAATTGCATTTCCTCCCATAGTAACAGCTAACTCCCATAATACTATTTGTATCTTTTTTTGCAAGTAATATAAAGATTTGCTTTTAAAAGAAAAGATACAAAGATTACCATTTGGGTCTCCCCAAAATGAATAGTCAACAATTGTAACTGACTAAGTATCAGTAAATATTCTATTAATAGAAGAGAGAGGAGAGGGAGAGAAAGAGAGACAGAGACAGACAGACAGAGTGAGAAAGGAAGAAAGAGTTAAATTCGCCATGACAAGTGTTGACTGGGCATTTTCAAAATTTGGTTACGTTTTTCCAGCTATATGAAGCCTTAGATAGCACGATAAAGAAACAAAATTATGAAGGGCAGCAAATGGAATTAAGATTTACACTGCATGTCTACAATTTTAACAAAGTGAAATTAATTTGATTTCTTTAGGCAGATAAATACCAAATTTTAAAAAATAATGGATTGCATTCATATAGTACCTATCTTTCAGAAAATCTGCCTTTTCTTAATAGCTTTTTTAACTTCCTTATAAAATAAATTTTTTTCAAATGTTACATCTAACATTAATCTTAAAATGGAATAAGAACATTTTAAAAAACCACATCTGCTCATCTCCTATCAAGCAATCATTTATTTATTGTAATGGGCTATTATAAAAGTTTGATATTTGAACTAATATGAGGAATAAGGTATTGGATAGTTCCCAGGAGTGAAGTTAGAGATGTCCATTGTATATAGGGTTTTTTTTGGGGGGGGGTGGAGGTATTTAGTTTTACTTATTTACATATTTTTTTAATGGAGGTACTGGGGATTGAAGCCAGGACCTCATGCATGCTAAGCGTGCACTCGACCACTGAGCTATACCCTCCCCGTCTACTTTTTCTTTAATTATTACTCCACACTCTAGCAGTGGTCAACACTGACATGCTAATGCTATGTGATGTACTTGCTGTCATATGTCATCATGCTACCTAAGAATCCCTGGAATTCTGCACACCTATATGAAGATAACAGGGTTAGACAGTCACCATGTAAGATCTTCTGTAGTTAATGTGATATGATTCTACTCATGGGCATTTCTTCACTTGACCTTGAACACCGTGGAGATAACAGCACAGCAGTTGTGTGCTGTGCTCTACCTGCTTTTTCTGTGTGTGCCAAAGAGCTGAATGCAAGCAAGATAATTTACCCCCATCTCACCAGATCAGTAGAG